AAACAAACAAATAAACACGACAGATCCCGGAACGCCTGAAAAGGAGGCTAGGTTGGCAAGCAGATACACATAAAAACACAACATGTGGCCTTATGGAGCTGGTCGGATTTTCATCTCAGTGCGCTTCAGGGAGTAGTTATAACCCTTCCAGCGCTGCCAGTTGACTCCGTCGGCGTTACTCTCATGAGTACCCAGGTGGTACAGGCCGTTCAGGTTGGAGCTGTGGCAACTGTCGTACCACCACGCACCTTTGAACCTCTGAGCACAGCTGGACGGGTTATCTCTGTCCTTGGTAATGAATGGTTTTTCGTCATGCCCCGTCAAGCTGTCTCCTGTGACAAAGACATTTACTTTACATAACAAAACAAGATATCCTTTCCATTGATGCATGTTGGCATTATATATTCCTATAACAACATTTCTTTTAAGCTGTTTGATGCCAAATATTTTAAGCAGGTTACCTTTTTAAATTCAAAATGGAGTAATCAATCGTGATTTACCGGAATATATATATTAGCATTGAGATAAGTAAACAAACACATATAACAAAACGTCTACGATGACATAATTCGAAAACACGCCATAACCTTACCTGCAGTACCGCTGTAAGTCCCTATGTGGAGCTTGTAGTTCTGTGATTCAGGCGAGATGGCAAACGTGTCGTAAGCCGCGTACGCCGTGTTCCCCTCAACATCCTCCATATCCACCCTGAGCTGGTAGACTTCCTGCACAGCCAGGCGGTACAAGTTGTCATTCCCCAGCCAGAACTCGCCGTTCAGGTTGGAAGGGAAGCCGGTCTTGTAGTCCGCCCAGCCCCGGTAGAAGTCGACGCTTCCGTCTTGGCGTCTCTGGAACAACTTTATGAGCAACAAGAAGATGGGAGATTTTAGAAATATTCTTTCTGAATTCACGTTGTCAAGAACTCCCAGCAAATCCGTTCACCCATGTACTGCCATTTTACTCTAACTGAATAGGTACCCAAAACCACAGCTAATTCTCCAAAACAACACTTCTATACCCGAAAGTATGACAGACATAAAGTAAGAATATTATACCCACAGATACAGATGGAGAAATTATAGTTTAATAGACCTACCGTCCAGCCGCCTCCGTCCGTGTCCATGTCACAGAAGACGTTGAAGCCGCCCAGGTTGTCCCGTGGATAAACCATGTACACGCCGCTGGGCGTGGTCTCGTCGTTGTCAAGGATATCCTGACAGTCTTGAGGCTTGTCGGTGGCCGTCTCGTTGACTGAGGTAGACGGTGAAGTACACAGTTATCACAAAATATTATTGATACGTAGCTTCTAAGTAATTCGAAAACACTAACCTAACATGTTCCGATTTTCACTTGTAGACCTTTACACACGCGTTGTCAAATTCTCCGCTAGTTTAAGTTTGTTTGTTTTTAGAAAAAAAAGCGTATCTGTAGGAATTGTGCCTTATCTTTACGAAGATAACTTGCCTTGAGACGTACTTGTCCTTGTCTGGGAATGTTCTTTCACAGCGATTCTGAGTTTCTCTAGCTCTGCTCGAAGTGCGTCGTCATTCCCACAATTCACAACTGTATCCCCACAATTACACACACATTTCTCGTCTGACGGTGGTCTACAGACCGACTGGGCAGAGCACAGGAACACAGACGTTACAAGGAACGTTAGGACACCGGGAAGAGATGACGCCATGGCGGTTAGAAATTTTTTTACGGGTGACGACAATACAGACTAGTCCACAAGGAAGTCTAAAGCCACAACTCCAGGAGTCATTCTACACTATTGTTTACGTCCCTCAGTGTTGTATACATTTCACTCACCATTGTGTTGTTAACAATACAAGGTAGGTGTGACTTAACCGTAGGGCAGGTGAGGTGAGCCACACAAAAGAAATCAGCCCTGGTAACATTTCATTACCACGAAACGGAATTAACCCTCAAACACCCGAACGGGGTCCATTTGGACCCCAGGCGTATATTTTTAAGTGTTATTTGAATTTTTTTCATTCGAAAAAAAATTCCTCCCGTGACTTTGTCGATAAACCTCTTCTACAAGTCCTCCAAAGTTTTTTTTGGAGATCGGCACAAATTTGTAAAAATAACAACAGAAGTCATATGTAAGACCGTCTGGGATCCAAACGGACCCCAGCCATGTATTTGCACTTTCCTACAAACAAAATTTGTTCGGATGTCCTCAATATGTCTTCAAGGAAGCATAATTGCTTTGATATTATGCAGTTTGCCAAGTAACCTCCACCTCAGGAATTATTTCATCAGGTTTTTACAGGTTTGACAATTTGACAATCATAAGAGGTCAAAGGTCAACCCCATGTTCATGCCTGCAGGCCTCATTCCATTTTTGCATAAATTATGATAATGAGCTAGAATTTTTTTAACACTTAATCATGACAAAATATACCTCTCACTATGTTTAACCAATATATATGCAAAGATCACTGAAAGAATGCAAAAAGGAATATAAATTTGAAAGAAACCAAATGGAGTCCATTTGGACCCCGTTCGGGCATTAACGTCACAAAAAAGTCGGGTGTTTGAGGGTTAATAGCACACAGAAAGGCAAGAATTAAGTCCCAGGTCCATTTGCTTTACTGCATAGGGCAAAAATACGACGCTCCGTTCATTCCACTACTTTCTCACTTCCGGCTCAAGGTCTCATAACACTGTATTCATTGAAAAAGTATTTCGGGCACAACGTTTAATGCTCTCTCAGTAAAACATACGCCTGGGGTCACGATCAAAACATTATGTTGTGTTACCGGACACCTGGCGCTTATATAGACAGATCCCCCAGAACGAAGAAATGCAAATTAACATTTAACAAACATGCAGCTGTAACAGGCCAATCACTGCGTTCAGACGGTCTGGGACCACGTGGTTATAGCACGTGACCCAGACGCGTCATTGGCCCAAGCCTGACCACGCCTCCGCCATGCAGATGTCGCCCCGCCTTCCGCGTGTACTATTTAATAGCGGGACGCGCCCGAAATCGCTCTCTGCTGCTCTCTATTCCCCGACGTCTGTTCCCGCACCGGTTAGGTTAGTAGTTTAGTTAAAGTAGTTTCCAAGCTGCCCATCTGCTGTACAGGTATTTGCTTTCGTTGTTCTTGCTCACTTTAGTACTTGGTTTAACTTTGTATCCGTAGTTCCATTATATGTTGCATTGCTTTGTATTTTATACCGCAGTTAGTCAATACAGTCTCATCAAATATAAATCGACCTGGCCTTGGTGTTACTTAGAGTGAGAGTCTAGTAACTTGTGCCTTAGAGTGAGAGTCTAAGGGATGTAACCGTAATCGTAACTGTAATCGTAACTTTAGCCCAAATCCTACCCACGCAGAAAGACCGGTTGTTACACAGCTACTCTTTCATTGGTCGAACCACTAACCATATTATTATTTGTTTAACAGCTCATTGTGATTGGCAGATTTGATTTTTTAAACCAATAGGCATAAAGGAAATGCACGGTGTCAAAAGAGCGTGCATTTGAATGCTATGTGTTATATTTAGATTATGACTGGTAGGTCGAGGTAGAGGGATCATAACCTACTGTTATTATTACCTCTTATTTAAAAGAGGTAATAATAACAGTAGGTTACATGGGGCGAACGTTGGATACAGGCGGCCAATGGATACAGGACTGGCCAATATAAAGTCCCCATGCCCACCGAATCTGCTTGGAGATTAACAGTTTGTATGTGTGCCACAGCTAGCTATCAACATCAATACATTACACAAACTGCAATGGACATACAGCACTCTCTCTCTCTGGTTGTCCATCGTTTCCGATGATGACTGCTGTGCACAGCCCGTCAGGTGGGGTGGATCCTCTGGTGACTTCTAAGCCCAAAGGCTGAGGCACACAGCTTCCCGCACCTGCTGCACTGGTATTCTGTAGTACTAGTAGTTGCTGTCCTATGACGCTTCTCCCTCACAGCTTCGAGGCGTCTCCTCCTTTCCTCCTCGAACGCAGATGTGGCCTTTGTCACAAGAGCCCTCCAGGCTGGCCGATCAGCGGCAGCTGCCTCAAACTCGGATGGCTTGATGCCACACCACTGGAGGTTGTTCTTAAGTACATCAGCACAGCAACACAGTTATATACATATTAGTATTATCATTATATGTCTATATTTCTACAAGACGGCTGAAAATAAGACAACTGAAGGGAATTCGTGAATAATCAAGTTTTCATAGTATTTGATTAATAAGGCTAGACAAAAAACAAGTAAGTAGACAAGGCTTTGCACACAAGTGCGAAGTACAGTGCACCAGCGACACCTTTTGATCTCTACGTGCAATACATACAGTTTCTTACGACCTAGGACTGAAAAGAACTGCTGTTATTATTTTTTTTATTTGTACAATGTCCTCCTGCATGAAACTTAGGAAATATGAATCACGAAACTAACATAATAAATTTACTAAATAAAACCTAAACTGTTGTGGACACTTCGTTTTTTTGTTCTTAGTCAATCGCACATCACAATATGCGATAGTGAAAATTACTACCAAGTCGTGTCCTTCGTTTACAGATTACTTTTAGGGATAGTATCCAAGCATTGTTTTTCAAGTTGTAATTTTTGAAGTTATACGCCGTTCATACAAACAAGCCTAAAAAGATATCACGCTGCAGTACCGCGGGGATCCATTTTTGAATATGACCTCTGTTTACACAATTACTGCTTACATACCTTGAACCTTGAATTGGGACATCGGGGATGTCATCAAGGGAGACAATGGGTTCTTCTTCTCCACTCGTCCCTGTCCTCCATCAGTGAGTTGTCCAGTGGTGATGTCTCTGAGCCCAACATTCCACTCCAAATATCACCAAGATCCATTCATAGCTTCTTCAATTTACGAGAACAAAATACTTTCCAGAACTGGGGAGTCTTAAATCTCTGTTTTGTTGTTCGAAATGTTGCTTTTTAATTAACTATTTTTCTCAATCATATTAACGATATGAAATCTGACTTGCGTAATGTACTGATGATCATATCTATTCAAAGCTACTTGGCATGATTAATAGACTGTAATCATGGATCGTTAAAGGCAGGTCCAAACCTTGATAACGACGAGCCAGGAACCGAGATCACAAGCACCAGAACAGCGCTGTACAACAATACAGTACATCTTCTCCGTGTTCGGGAATGCAGTTAGACTGCTGCTTCGCAAGGGGGCGTATGTGGCTCATTTCCTCCCCTTCATGCAACAGCGAACCATAGTAGGCCAAATAATTTTTTTCTATTTCGTAAATATATCATAGTAAAAATCCATAGCCATTCCGTCATGACTCAACTGAAAACATATAATTTGATGTTGTTATTGTGCCATGTTTTTGTAGCGCAACGGCAGAGCGTTCGGCTCGGAACCAAGAGTTCCCGTGTTTGAATCCTGCCATGCTACCGATCCAGTGCGCTTGGAAGAGGACGTGACAAGAATTTGTTAAAATAAGTCTGTTGTACGTGCAAACGCAAACACGTGGCTTTTTAGATAGAAGAACTTTATTGCACGACAAATGCACATGGTACATTGTATGGCAAACTACATAAAGAGAGTAAAAACAATAAAATAAGTGTGTTGAATAAGACCTAATGTCGAATAAAACCTAACATATCTATATCATAATCATTCAAATAATAAGGGATATCACAAGTCGTTGATAAAGTGTTACAATCAAGTGGGCTAATCACAAGTTTCGGTATTTTTTTCTAATAGCAAAGCATTCCTTTATATATTTACCTATTTTTGCGTTGTGGGGACCGTTACATGTAAAGATATATTCAAATCTGTCTCCAACATCGAGACTCTTAAAATCTATCTATGGTACTTGATTCGAGAAATATATAAGATAAAAAAAAACCCTTAAGTGTGCCATCGCCATGTCTTGAAAAAAGGTTTGGATATTTAAAAAAAGGAAGAAATTTTTTGCATTGGCTTGTTGGATTAATTGTAACATTAGTCTGGTGCCACTCACACGTCGAGATAAGAGAGTGAGAACTCAGTTTAGTCAGCTTTAACTAAAGAGGACGTTTAGAACCATGAATATTGAAAACAACAGATCGACCCAGTCTTTATTATTACATTCACTCATAAACCTGCATGTATACTTGTACCTCAGTGTAGACGGCAAAGAAGAAAAACGTTAGGGACTCTTTTGTTAATTGTCAATAATTGTTACTACATATGTAATTGATAGAAAACGAATATCTCAATAACAGAATAGATAGTTTAACGGGATGTTAACATTACGTGGCCCTATATCTAATCGTCTAACGTAACGTTAACATGCCTTTTTTGACTGCAGTGGTTCAATTTCAGATTTAGTCAAACACGCCAAAGTGACCTGGCCATGGTGACTGCTTTTTCTCGGTCACTTCGACCTGTCCAAGGTGACCACCTGGCCAACGCGGTCGACCGTGACCGCCGTGAGTTGTGCTCGCTCAAGGTCCAAACCTGCCGATGACGACCACACCATTTTTGATCGTGTTGATTCTTTTGTTCGACATAAATTGTTCCATTTGTCACCCTACACACATGAATTAACCACAGAACTAAAGATGCTTCCGGCATTCGACACATTAAACTACCTTTTATTAATCACTTTAAAACAATAATGTCTCAGTCATGTTGTGTGGCTATTCTATTCAAGGAGACCACCTGTCCTCTGGTCGCCTTGGGCAGGTTATACTGTTCATATATGCAGAAGACAAGGAAACACCCTTAACCATTTTAGACGATCCCAATTATTTTACGATAAAGACGTTTTTCAAACCCACTCTAGCGGTTAGGTATGGTATTGCATAAAAATACCTTTTAGTTACTGTAAAATAACCTATAACAATTTGCTATGGAAAGAAGAAGAAAACAAAAACAAAAAAACAACAAGCACTGCATCATTGAATGTCTTTTTATTGTTCTCTAACCCTCATACAGGCTGACAGGGAATGTTTCAAACATGGCAAAAACTTCTAGGGTACCATACATCAAGGGTTTTAGAAAGAATGACGATCTCATACTTATAGTTTCAAACGCAACACGAATGCTTCTTGTATATTTCATTTTTTCTGAACAAAAGCAAAATCAGATGTCTACTAATCTAGTATTGATTTGCGAGCTCTTTTCTTTTGTAGTCATTTATTTAATCACTTGATTGAAAGAAATAACATTTTGTTGCATATAGATTGGTTCATTTGTTATTTTGATTTTCATTATCATTTGTGTCAGTCAAATATCTGTTTACTGTTTTGTTACTTTGATTTTCTATTTATTGGGCATGAATTATAACTTCTTTTTCAGACATATTATTTCTATTATTTAAATTATGATCTCCAATGCACTTTTATTTCTGTATGCTGATTTTATTTCAAGTTTTTCATAATTTCAGCATAAGTTTTATTTATTATCATTATTGCTAAAAGTAATTATTGTTGTCATTTTATCTTATGTTGCTGGACTCTAGAAAGAATAGTATAGAATTTACCATACTAATGGAGATCTCAATAAACAAACAAACAAACAAACAAAATCAATCTAGATGCCTGGTTAATAACTTTTAAGATAAAATTGTCAATCTAGAGTATGACGAGCTTCTTGAGTGGTGTGTGAAATTATAAACTGACTAAACCTAGCTGCAGATTTAGGAAAATGTAATATTTCTCTTTTACTTTTATTACATTAAAACTGGTGTTCCACAGGGTGAACAAAAGCAGAATCAGATGTCTAGTGATCTAGATGCCTGGTTAACTACCAAGATAAATTGTCAATTGAGAGTATGATGAGCGTATTGGGTGGTGTGTGTAGTTATATACTGACTAGCTTCAGATATAGGAAAAGGCAATATTTCTCTTTTACTTTTTCACATTAATACTGGTGTTCTACAGGGTGACCCCCTTGCCCCATCCTTATTTATCATATGTTTAGATTATGCATTACTTGTAGCTATCACAGACACTGATGGCCTCACCCTGCAACACCGTCGTAGTAGTCGAGACCCTCCCTGTCCTTGATTTCACGGATGATATTGCTCTTCTCAGGGACACCATGCAACTTGTACAAGACCTGCTCTACAGAGTCGAAACTGCATGTCAAGCCATCGAAGTTTATCTCAATGCATCAAAAACTAAATTCATTCATTTTTATCCTCGGACCAGCTCTGTGCTTCTGATGGATCTACAATTGAAAGGGTCACTGACTTTAGATATTTTTGGGGATATATAGATTTCAAACACGACATGGAGGTTAGAATTGGGCAGGCATGGAGTGCCATACGTTCTCTCGTAAGAGTCTGAAAATCACGGGTCAGGGAGGAAACAAACACCAAAGTGTTTCAAGCTTGTGTTATTTCAACTTTGTTATACGGCTGCGAGTCGTGGAGTATGAATGCTTCACAGGTCAGGAAGCTGGATGGCACCTTTATCAAAGATGCTACGGTTCATCCAGAACAAACCTTGGTGGGGATTTACAACTAATAAACAACTCTACGGCTCCCTGCCACCAATCTCTACAGTAGTTAAGCGCCGTAGGTTAAGCCTAGCCGGCCATGTTACTCGGCATGGCGAACCGGGTGGAAACTGCTTCTTTTGTCTTCGGAAGCGAAGATGAGAAGAGGCCGTCCATACTCTACAGTCCACACTAAATGACATTATTGGGTTAGAGACTGGTATGGAAAAGAACTTATTACGGAAATGATGTACGATAGAAAACGCTGGAAGCTGAACTATTTAGATGCTTCAACTCTCCGAGTATTATGTATGTATGTATGTATGTATGTAAACTATGTATGTATGCATGTGTGTATGTATGTATGTATGTATGTGTAAATTTCCTGTATCGAGAGTCCGAGACAACCAAATAAGTAACTTGAAAGATTTGACCTGTTTAAAGAAAATGGATACAGAGTGAGTGCTGGATTATGGTCTTTATCAAACAATTTGAATCCTCGACCTGTCAGCTGGGTTAGTGTCTGGCAACTTATGGTCGGAAGTTGGCAGGACGGACCATCATTTTGGACTTTTTCAGATAGCACCTATAGGAGCCCCCAAACGCGTACCAAGCTATGCCACAACCACTGTGACCGGTATAGTCAGAGCGGCGCAGGTACGGGCCGTTCAGGGCAGACCAAGTGCAGGACTTGTACCACCACCCTCCCGTGTAGGCACTATTAGCACAGGACCCGCTACTGGCATCACGATCTACATCCCTAGCACTGAAGGGCTGACCCGTTAGGTAGGGTTTAGATCTAGATCGTGAGCCTGAGAACCCATCCCCTGCGGTCCCACTGTACCCACTAACAGACAGGCTATAGTTGGAACTACTCCCCACCGAGAATGACGAATACTTTGCGTACTTAACCACATGATTCCAATCTTCCAACTGTACATACAGCGTATACCTGTGCTGATTGGTCAAACGGTACATGTTCTCCAAACCGAGCCAATACTCCCCATTGGCTGACCCAAACCCGTACCTAAAGGCGCCCCATGGTCGGTTAAAGTCGACAGACCCGTCAAACCTCCTCTGTATGACCGTCCACCCTCCCCCATCTGTGGTCTGATCACAGTATACAGAGATCGGGCTGGAGAGACCGACAGGTAGTATTTTGTGTACACCACTAGACACTTTATGATACAGAGTTTGGGCTGTGTGGATCTCAGAGCAGTCGGAAAAGTAATTTCCGCGCTTGCTTAAGGCCGGTGAAGCCGGGTCGGTGTGAGTTGTCTGGCCGTCCACATTGTCTGGCTTCTCGGGCTGGTCGTTGTCGGTTTGGTCCTCGATCGCACGAGACAGCAATTCTGTAAGAAAACAACACTTAAGTCATAAGACAGAGAGAATGAAA